ATCGACGTTTGTATTGGGTAAGTTAATTGACGTAGTTGTTGGTTGTTATGGAAGAATCGATATTTGTATTTGGTTAGAAGTCTTGTATTAGGTAAATCGACGTTTGTATTGGGTAGTATTGGGTAAAATGACGCTTTGTGAAACTGCGGGTAAAATAGTTGTAGCAGTATGGTGACTTCACCCTATCACCCTATGTTAACATTTTCATACAGTCGGTGTTCTATATGTTAAAAAGAGACAGTTAAAGTATTTCTTTCTATACTTTACGAATGCCACTCTGACGATGTATTTCTCAAAATTCACTTCCGGTCTGTAAACTATGTGTAATTTTGATACCTATGCTACATTCCTATACTTCATGTATGAGTTGTCGTTTAATACTTCTCTTATATAAAGCGGACAGAATTAAGTCCAACTGATATGGGTGGTCGTTAACCTATCGCCAAGTGTACAGGTTATTCTACAAAGCAGGTCGTTGTTGTTAATTTCCAAAGGCAATGGCATCAATTAATCATTCAAACGGTGTCAGGTGAAACAATTGACCGAAGAAAAAATGCCCAGCTCCGTTAATTTTAAGAATGCACCAGTTCTCTGTTCTTCTGCTAGATTCAAAATCCAAGATGACAGATATGCAAATTAAGTGTGTAAACATTAAAAACATAACAAAAAATAACAATGACATGAGTATAACGATTGGAAAGAAAGCAATACAAAGTTCTAGTGGTTAATCATCGATACACTGTTCCCTATCCATAACCTTCAAAATGAAATGAAGAAAAAGTCATTCATTATGCAGAAAAAATATATTTGATTTGTTATCAACATCATTTTATAATCAAATGCTACAATGAAATTAACTATCTGAAGTAGAAAAGAAATTACCCAGAGATACGAGATGTATCGCTGAGAACATCAACACCTCGCACATCTTCACTTTTCTTTATACATTGGTCTAATGTTTGTTGTTTGATTTACATGTCTAATGTTGGAATTTGATACATGTACCTAGTGTTTAAATTTGTTACATGAATCTTACAATTGCAATGAATTTGATACATGTATCTAGTGTTTAAATTTGTTACATAAATCAACTGTTTGAATTTTATACATGTATCTAATATTCCAATTAGAAACATATGTATCTAATGCTTGATTTGTTACGTGTATCTAATGTTTGATTTGTTACATGTATCTAATGTTTGATTTGTTACGTGTATCCAATGTTTGATTTGTTACATGTATCTAATGTTTGATTTGTTACATGTATCTGTTTGATTTGTTACATGTATCTAATGTTTGATTTGTTACGTGTATCTAATGTTTGATTTGTTACGTGTATCTAATGTTTGATTTGTTACGTGTATCTAATGTTTGATTTGTTACATGTATCTGTTTGATTTGTTACATGTATCTAATGTTTGATTTGTTACATGTATCTGTTTGATTTGTTACATGTATCTAATGTTTGATTTGTTACATGTATCTGTTTGATTTGTTACATGTATCTAATGTTTGATTTGTTACGTGTATCTAATGTTTGATTTGTTACGTGTATCCGATGTTTGATTTGTTACATGTATCTAATGTTTGATTTGTTACATGTATCCGATGTTTGATTTGTTACATGTATCCAATGTTTGATTTGTTACATGTATCTGTTTGATTTATTACATGTATCTGTTTGATTTGTTACATGTATCTGTTTGATTTGTTACATGTATCTAATGTTTGATTGGTTACATGTATCTAATGTTTGATTTGTTACATGTATCTAATGTTTGATTGGTTACATGTATCTAATGTTTGATTTGTTACATGTATCTAATGTTTGATTTGTTACGTGTATCAAATGTTTGATTTGTTACATGTATCTAATGTTTGATTTGTTACATGTATCTAATGTTTGATTTGTTACATGTATCTGTTTGATTTGTTACATGTATCTGTTTGATTTGTTACATGTATCTAATGTTTGATTTGTTACATGTATCTGTTTGATTTGTTACATGTATCTAATGTTTGATTTGTTACGTGTATCCAATGTTTGATTTCTAACGTGTATCTGATGTTTGATTTGTTACATTTATCCAATGTTTGATTTGTTACGTGTATCTGTTTGATTTGTTACGTGTATCTAATGTTTGATTTGTTACATGTATCTAATGTTTGATTTGTTACATGTATCTAATGTTTGATTTGTTACATGTATCTAATGTTTGATTTGTTACATGTATCCAATGTTTGATTTGTTACATGTATCCAATGTTTGATTTGTTACATGTATCTAATGTTTGATTTGTTACGTGTATCTAATGTTTGATTTGTTACGTGTATCTAATGATTGATTTGTTACATTTATCCAATGTTTGATTTGTTACGTGTATCTGTTTGATTTGTTACGTGTATCTAATGTTTGATTTGTTACGTGTATCTGTTTGATTTGTTACATGTATCTAATGTTTGATTTGTTACATGTATCTAATGTTTGATTTGTTACATGTATCTAATGTTTGATTTGTTACATGTATCTAATGTTTGATTTGTTACATGTATCTAATGTTTGATTTGTTACATGTATCTAATGTTTGATTTGTTACATGTATCTAATGTTTGATTTGTTACGTGTATCCAATGTTTGATTTGTTACGTGTATCTAATGTTTGATTTGTTACGTGTATCTAATGTTTGATTTGTTACATGTATCTGTTTGATTTGTTACATGTATCTAATGTTTGATTTGTTACGTGTATCTAATGTTTCATTTGTTACATGTATCCAATGTTTGATTTGTTACGTGTATCCAATGTTTGATTTGTTACATGTATCTAATGTTTGATTTGTTACATGTATCTGTTGGATTTGTTACATGTATCTAATGTTTGATTTGTTACATGTATCTAATGTTTGATTTGTTACGTGTATCTAATGTTTGATTTGTTACGTGTATCTAATGTTTGATTTGTTACATGTATCTAATGTTTGATTTGTTACGTGTATCTAATGTTTGATTTGTTACAATGTTTGATTTGTTACATGTATCTGTTTGATTTGTTACATGTATCCGATGTTTGATTTATTACATGTATCTAATGTTTGATTTGTTACGTGTATCTGTTTGATTTGTTACGTGTATCTAATGTTTGATTTGTTACATGTATCCGATGTTTGATTTGTTACATGTATCTAATGTTTGATTTGTTACATGTATCTAATGTTTGATTTATTACATGTATCTGTTTGATTTGTTACGTGTATCTAATGTTTGATTTGTTACATGTATCCGATGTTTGATTTGTTACATGTATCTAATGTTTGATTTGTTACATGTATCTAATGTTTGATTTGTTACATGTATCTAATGTTTGATTTGTTACATGTATCTAATGTTTGATTTGTTACATGTATCCGATGTTTGATTTGTTACATGTATCTGTTTGATTTGTTACATATATCTAATGTTTGATTTGTTACGTGTATCTAATGTTTGATTTGTTACATGTATCTGTTGGATTTGTTACATGTATCTGTTTGATTTGTTACATGTATCTAATGTTTGATTTGTTACATGTATCTAATGTTTGATTTGTTACATGTATCTAATGTTTGATTTGTTACATATATCTAATGTTTGATTTGTTACGTGTATCTGTTTGATTTGTTACGTGTATCTAATGTTTGATTTGTTACGTGTATCTGTTTGATTTGTTACGTGTATCTAATGTTTGATTTGTTACATGTATCTAATGTTTGATTTGTTACATGTATCTAATGTTTGATTTGTTACATGTATCTAATGTTTGATTTGTTACATGTATCTAATGTTTGATTTGTTACGTGTATCTAATGTTTGATTTGTTACATGTATCTAATGTTTGATTTGTTACATGTATCTAATGTTTGATTTGTTACATGTATCTAATGTTTGATTTGTTACATGTATCTAATGTTTGATTTGTTACATGTATCTAATGTTTGATTTGTTACATGTATCTAATGTTTGATTTGTTACATGTATCTAATGTTTGATTTGTTACATGTATCTAATGTTTGATTTGTTACATGTATCTGTTTGATTTGTTACATATATCTAATGTTTGATTTGTTACGTGTATCTAATGTTTGATTTGTTACATGTATCTGTTGGATTTGTTACATGTATCTGTTGGATTTGTTACATGTATCTAATGTTTGATTTGTTACATGTATCTAATGTTTGATTTGTTACATATATCTAATGTTTGATTTGTTACGTGTATCTGTTTGATTTGTTACGTGTATCTAATGTTTGATTTGTTAGGTGTATCTGTTTGATTTGTTACGTGTATCTAATGTTTGATTTGTTACATGTATCCGATGTTTGATTTGTTACATGTATCTAATGTTTGATTTGTTACATGTATCTAATGTTTGATTTGTTACGTGTATCTAATGTTTGATTTGTTACGTGTATCTGTTTGATTTGTTACATGTATCTAATGTTTCATTTGTTACATGTATCTAATGTTTGATTTGTTACATGTATCTAATGTTTGATTTGTTACATGTATCTGTTTGATTTGTTACATGTATCTAATGTTTGATTTGTTACGTGTATCTAATGTTTGATTTGATACATGTATCTGTTTGATTTTTTACATGTATCCAATGTTTGATTTGTTACATGTATCTAATGCTTGATTTGTTATTGAAATATTTCATATTATGTTATTTCAGAAAAGTACAAACTACAGAAATCCTGATGGGTACACAAGCTGATTTCTTCCTCTCTTTTAAGTATTGATTATCACAAACTTGTTCCTGTTTTGAGTTGTGGTCAGAGATAAATCACCTTCAGATATTGGTATTAAACATAGGCAAGATCATACAAGAATTAGACAAAAATCAAAACTATCATCTATTATATGTCTATAAATTATATAATATATTCTATAATCAAGAGATACTAGATCTCTCGAGTTTGTCGATGCCATTTGTTCCTTGTTGTGTCTGCGACAAATTGGTCAAAGCTTGTCGATAAATAGAGCCAAGAGAGCGAAGGTCAACACCTTGATAACACCTGAGAGAGGTGTGGCAGCTGCAGACAGGATCTGAAAAAAACAAGTAAACATTTGATAATTTTCGATGTAAATACCAAAGTAGGTCAATACCAAAGTAAGTAGGCAAATACCAAAGTAAGTAGGCAAATACCAAAGTAAGTTGGCAAATACCAAAGTAGGTAAATACCAAAGTAGGTAAATACCAAAGTAGGTTAATACCAAAGTTGGTAAATACCAAAGTAGGTAAATACCAAAGTAGGCAAATAACAAAGTAGGTAAATACCAAAGTAGGCAAAAACCAAAGTAGGCAAATACCAAAGTATGTAAATACCAAATTATGTAAATACCAAAGTAAGCAAATACCAAAGTAGGTAAATACCAAAGTAGGTAAATACCAAAGTAGGCAAATACCAAAGTAGGCAAATAACAAAGTAGGTAAATACCAAAGTAGGTAAATAGTAAAGTAGGCAAATACCAAAGTAAGTAGGCAAATACCAAAGTATGTAAATACCAAAGTAAGTAGGCAAATACCAAAATATGTAAATACCAAAGTAGGTAAATACCAAAGTAAGTTGGCAAATACCAAAGTAGGTAAATACCAAAGTAAGTTGGCATATACCAAAGTAGGTAAATACCAAAGTAGGCAAATACCAAAGTAGACAAATACCAAAGTAGGTTAATACCAAAGTAGGTAAATAGCAAAGTAAGTAGGCAAATACCAAAGTATGTAAATACCAAAGTAGGTAAATACCAAAGTAGGCAAATACCAAAGTATGTAAATACCAAAGTAGGCAAATACCAAAGTATGCAAATACCAAAGTAGGCAAATACCAAAGTATGTAAATACCAAAGTAGGTAAATACTAAAGTAGGTAAATACCAAAGTAGGTAAATACCAAAGTAGGCAAATACCAAAGTAAGTTGGCAAATACCAAAGTAAGTAGGCAAATACCAAAGTATGTAAATACCAAAGTAGGCAAATACCAAAGTAAGTTGGCAAATACCAAAGTAGATAAATAACAAAGTAAGTCGGCAAATACCAAAGTAGGTAAATACCAATGCAGGCAAATACCAGAGTAGGTAAATACCAAAGCAGGCAAATACCAAAGTATGCAAATACCAAAGTAGGTAAATACCAAAGTAGGCAAATACCAAAGTAGGCAAATACCAAAGTAGGTAAATAACAAAGTAGGTAAATACCAAAGTAGGCAAATACCAAAGTAGGCAAATACCAAAGTATGTAAATACCAAAGTAGGTAAATACCAAAGTAAGTTGGCAAATACCAAAGTAGATAAATAACAAAGTAAGTCGGCAAATACCAAAGTAGGTAAATACCAATGCAGGCAAATACCAAAGTAGGTAAATACCAAAGTAAGTTGGCAAATACCAAAGTAGTTAAATACCAATGCAGGCAAATACCAAAGTAGGTAAATACCAATGCAGGCAAATACCAAAGTAGGTAAATACCAAAGTAAGTCGGCAAATACCAAAGTAGGTAAATAACAAAGTAAGTCGGCAAATACAAAAGTAGGTAAATACCAAAGTAAGCAAATACCAAAGTAAGTTGGCAAATACTAAAGTAGGCAAATACCAAAGTATGTAAATACCAAAGTAGGTAAATACCAAAGTAGGCAAAAACCAAAGTAAGTCGGCAAATACCAAAGTAAGCAAATACCAAAGTAAGTTGGCAAATACCAAAGTAGGCAAATACCAAAGTATGTAAATACCAAAGTAGGTAAATACCAAAGTAGGCAAAAACCAAAGTAAGTTGGCAAATACCAAAATAAGTAGGCAAATACCAAAGTATGTAAATACCAAAGCAGGTAAATACCAAAGTAGGTAAATACCAAAGAAAGCAATACCAGTAGTAAGACTTCTAATTCAACCATGCCTGCCTCAGACAGAAACATGATTGATATATCAAATATGCTTTTCCAACTGGCAAACATGCAAAATAATGCCAGTATTATCGGATAAAGTTGCTCTCCAGGAGAGGTGGTTCTTCACATTTAAGAAAGAAATCTAATAATACAGTAAAAAATAACAGGTATATCTGCCAACTTAAAAGCAGTGACATCCAATTTGATAAACATGGACTTCTCCTATATAACATTACAGAAGACACCCACATTTCTGAAGATCATACTTCACTTGTGTCTATTTACCTTAATGTCACTTTGCTTGACAGACTCAGGCGAATAGGGAAAAGCTGTATTTGGAACTTGCATTGGGTCTGCTGTTGTAGGTCTCTAAAGGAAATAATGTAGAATTATAGATACAGCTTCACAATGACCATCAGCTAAGTAAGCATCCTCGTTCAAAAGTAGGTCAATACCAAAGTAAGTTGGCAAATACCAAAGTAAGTTGGCAAATACCAAAGTAAGCAAATACCAAAGTATGTAAATACCAAAGCAGGCAAATACCAAAGTAGGTAAATACCAAAGTAGGTAAATACCAATGTAGGCATATACCAAAGTATGTAAATACCAAAGTAGGTTTATACCAAAGTAGGTAAATACCAAAGTAAGCAAATACCAAAGTAGGTTAATACCAAAGTAGGTAAATAGCAAAGTAGGTAAATACCAAAGTAGGCAAATACCAAAGTAGGTTAATACCAAAGGAGGTTAATACCAAAGTAGGTAAATAACAAAGTAGGTAAATACCAAAGTAGGCAAATACCAAAGTAGGTTAATACCAAAGTAGGTAAATAGCAAAGTAGGTAAATACCAAAGTAGGCAAATACCAAAGTAGGTTAATACCAAAGGAGGTTAATACCAAAGTAGGTAAATAACAAAGTAGGTAAATACCAAAGTAGGCAAATACCAAAGTAGGTTAATACCAAAGTAGGTAAATAACAAAGTTGGTAAATACCAAAGTAGGCAAATACCAAAGTAGGTTAATACCAAAGTAGGTTAATACCAAAGTAGGTAAATAACAAAGTAGGTAAATACCAAAGTAGGCAAATACCAAAGTAGGTTAATACCAAAGAAGGTAAATACCAAAGTATGTAAATACCAAAGTAGGCAAATACCAAAGTATGTAAATACGAAAGTATGTAAATACCAAAGTAGGTAAATACCAAAGTAGGCAAATACCAAAGTAGGTTGGCAAATACCAAAGTAGGTAAATGGCAAAGTAGGCAAATACCAAAGTAGGTAAATACGAAAGTATGTAAATACCAAAGTAGGTAAATACCAAAGTAGGCAAATACCAAAGTAGGTTGGCAAATACCAAAGTAGGTAAATAGCAAAGTAAGTAGGCAAATACCAAAGTAGGTAAATACCAAAGTATGTAAATACCAAAGTAGGTAAATACCAAAGTAGGTAAATACCAAAGTAAGTAGGCAAATACCAAAGTAGGTAAATACCAAAGAAGGTAAATAACAAAGTAGGTAAATACCAAAGCAGGTAAATACCGAAGTAGGTAAATACCAAAGTAGGCAAATACCAAAGTATGTAAATACCAAAGCAGGTAAATACCAAAGTAGGTAAATACCAAAGTAAGTCGGCAAGTACCAAAGTATGTAAATACCAAAGCAGGTAAATACCAAAGTAGGTAAATACCAAAGTAGGTAAATACCAAAGTATGTAAATACCAAAGTAGGTAAATACCAAAGTAGGTAAATACCAAAGTATGTAAATACCAAAGTAGGTAAATACCAAAGTAGGTAAATACCAAAGCAGGCAAATACCAAAGTAAGTCGGCAAATACCAAAGTATGTAAATACCAAAGTAGGTAAATAACAAAGTAGGCAAATACCAAAGTATGTAAATACCAAAGCAGGCAAATACCAAAGTAAGTCGGCAAATACCAAAGTATGTAAATACCAAAGCAGGTAAATACCAAAGTAGGTAAATACCAAAGTAGGTAAATACCAAAGCAGGCAAATACCAAAGTAAGTCGGCAAATACCAAAGTATGTAAATACCAAAGTAGGTAAATAACAAAGTAGGCAAATACCAAAATAAGTAGGCAAATACCAAAGTATGTAAATACCAAAGTAGGCAAATACCAAAGTATGTAAATACCAAAGTATGTAAATACCAAAGTAGGTAAATAACAAAGTAGTTAAATACCAAAGTAAATAGGTAAATACCAAAGTAGGTAAATACCAAAGTAGGTAAATACCAAAGTATGTAAATACCAAAGTAGGTAAATACCAAAGTAGGTAAATACCAAAGCAGGCAAATACCAAAGTAAGTCGGCAAATACCAAAGTACACATATGTAAATACCAAAGCAGGTAAATACCAAAGTAGGTAAATACCAAAGTAGGTAAATACCAAAGCAGGCAAATACCAAAATAAGTAGGCAAATACCAAAGTATGTAAATACCAAAGTAGGTAAATAACAAAGTAGGCAAATACCAAAGTATGTAAATACCAAAGTATGTAAATACCAAAGTAGGTAAATAACAAAGTAGTTAAATACCAAAGTAAATAGGTAAATACCAAAGTAGTTAAATACCAAAGTAGGCAAATACCAAAGTAGGTAAATACCAAAGTAGGTAAATACCAAAGTAGGTAAATACCAAAGTAAGCAATACCAGTAGTAAGACTTCTAATTCAACCATGCCTGCCTCAGACAGAAACATGATTGATATATCAAATATGCTTTTCCAACTGGCAAACATGCAAAATAATGCCAGTATTATCGGATAAAGTTGCTCTCCAGGAGAGGTGGTTCTTCACATTTAAGAAAGAAATCTAATAATACAGTAAAAAATAACAGGTATATCTGCCAACTTAAAAGCAGTGACATCCAATTTGATAAACATGGACTTCTCCTATATAACATTACAGAAGACACCCACATTTCTGAAGATCATACTTCACTTGTGTCTATTTACCTTAATGTCAATTTGCTTGACAGACTCAGGCGAATAGGGAAAAGCTGTATTTGGAACTTGCATTGGGTCTGCTGTTGTAGGTCTCTAAAGGAAATAATGTAGAATTATAGATACAGCTTCACAATGACCATCAGCTAAGTAAGCATCCTCGTTCAAAAGGAAATTAAGTTAGGAAATTGTCTTGGATGTCATCAGCAATATCTATATTTAAAATTGGTTCTAGCCTCATTCTCAGTTGTACATCTGTAGTTCAATCAAGATTGCTAAATCAAAGAAATTGTAGTTAAGTCAGTTATTCATTTCTCAAAATTGATTATAGAGTTTACAATATTTCATGTCTAAGGTAGAGTTATACATCACTGAGGAAGAGTCAAAAGTTTAAAAACAAAGCTGTACATAGGTAACACTATAATTATCGATGGACAGCTCCCAGTGTTACACATTTTGTTGGTGCAGTACTATGAAAAAGTTTAAAAAGAATGTAACTTTACAGTTACCGGAACAGTTATAGTGGAATCAGACTGAAACAACACAAAAGTTAATATGATCAAATGTATTAGCATGTCCCATTGTTAAAAATATATGGCTGATTTGGTTGTTTGAATGATGGGGCTTAACCTTATACTTAATGTACATAATACTTTTCTGGTACCAGAATATTTGCAAAGCCAAAATCTTTAATTCTAAAAATAATATACTTAATTCTGCATACTATTCTTGGTTTGAACATGAAATATTCTTTGAATAAAAATATGTATTCTTGTATTGATAAATGTAGTCATAACTTGTTCTTATCAAGTAAAAGTGAAATACACTGTTCACCGCAGTGTTGTTTGTATAAGGGAGGTAACTCTTATTTATATAAGATCTCTTTATAAAATTTTCAAGAGATGGTTGAGCAAAACAGTTTTTCCACTGAAGTTATTTCTCCTGATTTAAAGACCATACAATTATCTTTGGTAACACATATATGAAGGAAGTTAACTATGTTTAATGTACCATTTCCCAGCTGCTCTCTTATCACAGTGCAAAAATATTCACTTTTACAGTAAGTGGATCAGTAGCTTTTAGGCAACTGAGATTACAGGTGCTTGTGGACTCAATTTCAATAGCACTTATAAAAAAAACCATACAATGGTCATATAAAAATTCTTGAAGGCTATTGTATGGTTTGTTAATTTTAAATGCTACCTGTGACATACTTAAACCCAAATTAAATAAGAAAGAAGTCTAATACCTGTAGATGCTGTGAATATCATCCAATCAGTCATTACATTTTTACACATCACCATACACTTATGTATGTAATACATCAATACACAGGCCATTCCATCATACCTTAGTTGAAAACTTTATGGTCATATTTGGGCTGGAGAAGTTGGTTAGGAAACTTGTGTAAGCCTTTTCCCATGCGTGAGCAGCTCCCACCTCATGTGGATCTTGAGAATTCTTTACGATGAATGAAATAACGAAAGTCTCTGATTCAGGGTATCCAAGACCTTTCAACAGGAAGTTAAATAAAGGAAACATAGACTCGTGCATGACATTGGTTACTTTTTGTCTGTAAGGTGGTTTACAAAATGTGCCAGAGTAAACTTCAAAATATTTTTTTCTCATTGTCTTGTTTTTAACTTCCTATGACAATACCTTCATGGTGGTCCTCCAAAGATTCCTGAACTTTGATTTAGAGTAGACAAATAGTTATAAATTTATTGTAAATGGGAGCACTATTGGGCTTTCATAGATAAACAACGATCGCCTTTTTGTAGGATGGTATGACTAGTCAATTTGTCTCAGATATTTCTTATAAACGTTTATCAAATTGATGGTTTTATTCATTGTGTTTATTGTGTCGTCAACAGCCTGAGTCATTTCAGACCAAGAATTGTTGTAACAGTGGTGCCTACCTCACTGAACAAGATACTGGGGGCCCATCAATTGACATCTAACTCAGATGGTGTAAGATATCTAACCCAAGGATATAAACATGATAGGACAGTGCAGTCTGTTTCTCAGTTTCCTGAGAAGAACAACCAGCCCTATGGAGACATTGAACTACACACTTCAGATATTCATCTGATGGTGTGTATACAAGCAATCAACCGACTAAACCAAACACAATGCCCCCTCACTGAATCATGATGTAATAAGAGTGAAAATGTTTTATCTTAAACATTTCTCATTGTAACAAATATCAATTTCATCAGGATATCAATCAAAAGATACAAGTGATATTTTGTGCATTCCATTTACATACTGTATATGACCTTTTTAGGGCGCATCTAAATAAGGGTGCCTATGTCTTTTTTTCAGTAAAATTTCTTGGCTGAGTGTCCAATTGCATATTCTTTACCTTTTTATTCAGAATATATAAATAGGCCTATGCTGGGGATTACTATGACTGCACTGTGGACATTGAAAGCAGGTATGATTTAAATGTCCTGGGTTAGTGCAGTTGTAGTAATCATCAGCATCGTCCATATCCCTGTCCGAGCCACTAGCGCTAATCTTGGAAATTTCAATGTCGCATTGTGCACATTTGCGCTTGTATTATCAAGAACAGCCTGGGCTACGTCAACACAAATTTGACGTAAATATGGAAATATTAGTTATATATGAACAAGAAAGTCCCAACATTTACCTAAAAATTTATCAAACAGACAGATCACAGAGACATTTAATGAATGATAACAATATTTCCTAATACAATTAGCATTTGTATTTACCATCCTGCATTACCAGCCAGGGGTCTATAGGAACGCTGCTTGTACTAAGACATGTAGTGTTTAACTTTGTGCGGTCAAACGTTGCATTAGGTGTACTGAAATCAAAGTAGATAAATAGATAAAAAGATAAATAGATAAATAAAGATTTTTGAAGCAAGATCAACAAAAAAATAACATATTGAATGCAGTACACATATGTTTGTATGTTGGTGTGTTTTCTATTGCATGACAATTACATTCTGGTTAATACGAATAATTGTACTGTTCAGAATATGCACACACTCACCTTTCACCTCTATGACAGAGGTTCAATTCCTAAATTGGATCTAAAATGACCACACAACTTTACCAGATATACTTTTCCTTCCCCAGAAAGGTCCCATGTTCACTTCAATCCAGACCAACTAGAGCGGCGTTTAGACCTTTTTATGTGTGCTGAAGCAGTAACAATGTACTTTTCCATGAAAGAGGATTCAACTTTGCTTTATGTAAAACATTGTAAAAGAAGGGCCTCCTTGTCCCTATTTAGAACCTTGTCTATCAACATGTTTTGTCTCTTTCAATGATATGGCTTAAGTGTGTGGCACAATGTTAATGCTGTAATTTGGTAAATTCATGCTCTGCCTTTTTTCCAATTTCATATCCCCCGTGAAACGATATAGAGAGATCATTGAGGCGTATACAAGATTAGATGTAAGAAATGTGTCGTAGTTTCATTCATGATTTGGCTCTTCTGCATCTAACATGTTTCTAAAATTTTCTTAAGTGTGTGCATTTCATAATACCGTCCTGGAAACTGCAGCTGTTAGACAATGCTTGTGAGTTCGTTTGAAAGCATTAGATATTGGAAATGATGAAATTTACCAAATTTGTGACAATACACCTCCCTAACTGGGTTCTGAAATCTATTTGGACCAGTTTTTATTGATCTCAGTTGTCCCCTACATGTATATCTAAACAATTTAGGTTCGTATCATCACTGACAAATTCTAGAAGGCCAAAACTGCTGTAAGGTGCAGTCATTCATTAGCTATTATTTGGCTCTTCTGTATCAAATTCTAAATTGATATTGAATGGTGCAACTCATTTGTGTATCTTTGTATAACTATGTAGCTCACTGTATAACAGACAAAGGATTAGTCAATCTGAAATCAAATTTACTTGAACACAAATTAGTAATTATAAAAGTAATGCGTACCGAACACAGGCCTGCAAGTGATCCAGGTAATCAGCTAACATGAAGAATCCAAACGAATCCATTACGACCTGATCTAGTCGTGTCACGTCCATCTGCCAATATTCCAACATACTGATGATGACGCAGCTTTCAGAGGACTTGACACGATAACAAATATCATCTAGTGTTATCATCTTTCCTTTATAAGTTGTTGTGATATTCTGAATCTTTAACTGTAGGTCCAGCAACTGTAACCATAAAAACAACAGTGTCATACCTATCCTAATGTCCATATGTAGATAGAACAACACAAAGTGGTGACAGTCTGGATAGTCACACTTTTAAGACTATTTTGGTTCAAATGTTTTTTTCAATATTACCAATGTTTATTATAGTAGGGGTGTATTTTTCATGGCAATTGTAAACAGACTATGTTTCTGCATTGTTTTTAAGCATTCTCTTTTCATAAATAAATATTTCCTGGAAATCAAACTAGCACATGTCATGTCATTTTGAATTCTCTCATTGAAGTCTTTTTCCAAACAAATTTACAATGAAAATTTGCTTGATTAGTTTACATCTAATATGATGTACTCGAAAACCAATATTTCTATTGATGTTCAGTCAAAAAACTAATACGGTACCACAAATATCTGTATGGAAATCTTAAAGAACAAAATTGAAAAAAATAAAACCTATATATTTTATGTGTGGCATTTCTAAAACATAGACCAAATAACATAACACAAAGCTAACCAAATAACATAACACAAAGCTCACCAAATAACATAACACAAATCTTACCAAATAACATTACACATAGCTCACTAAATAACATTACACATAGCTCAATAAATAACATTACACAAATCTCACCAAATAACATTACACATAGCTCACCAAATAACATAACATAAAGCTCACCAAATAACATTACACATAGCTCACCAAATAACATTACACAAAGCTCACCAAATAACATTACACATAGCTCACCAAATAACATTACACATAGCTCACCAAATAACATTACACATAGCTCATCAAATAACATAACACATAGCTCACCAAATAACAAAGCTGACCAAATAACATTCATATAGCTCACCAAATAACATTACAAATAGCTCACCAAATAACATTACACATAGCTCACTAAATAACATAACACATAGCTCATCAAATAACATTACACATAGCTCATCAAATAACATAACACATAGCTCACCAAATAACAAAGCTGACCAAATAACATTCATATAGCTCACCAAATAACATTCATATAGCTCACCAAATAACATTACAAATAGCTCACCAAATAACATTACATATAGCTCATCAAAAAACATAACACAAAGCTCACCAAATAACAAAGCTGACCAAATAACATTCATATAGCTCACCAAATAACATTCATATAGCTCACCAAATAACATTACACATAGCTCACCAAATAACATTACACATAGCTCACTAAATAACATAACACAAATCTCACCAAATAACATTACATATAGCTCACCAAATAACATAACACAAAGCTCACCAAATAACATTACAAATAGCTCACCAAATAACAAAGCTGACCAAATAACATTCATATAGCTCACCAAATAACATTCATATAGCTCACCAAATAACATAACACATAGCTCACCAAATAACATTACACATAGCTCACCAAATAACATAACACATAGCTCACCAAATAACATAACACAAAGCTCACCAAATAACATTACACATAGCTCACCAAATATCATTACACATAGCTCACCAAATATCATTACACATAGCTCACCAAATAACATTACACATAGCTCACCAAATAACATTACACATAGCTCACCAAATAACATTACACAAAGCTCACCAAATAACATTACACATAGCTCACCAAATAACATTACACATAGCTCACCAAATAACATTACATATAGCTCATCAAAAAACATAACACAAAGCTCACCAAATAACAAAGCTGACCAAATAACATTCATATAGCTCACCAAATAACATTCATATAGCTCACCAAATAACATTACAAATAGCTCACCAAATAACATTACACATAGCTCACCAAATAACATTACATATAGCTCACCAAATAACATAACACAAAGCTCACCAAATAACATTACAAATAGCTCACCAAATAACAAAGCTGACCAAATAACATTCATATAGCTCACCAAATAACATTCATATAGCTCACCAAATAACATAACACATAGCTCACCAAATAACATTACACATAGCTCACCAAATAACATAACACATAGCTCACCAAATAACATAACACAAAGCTCACCAAATAACATTACACATAGCTCACCAAATATCATTACACATAGCTCACCAAATTACAATACACAAAGCTCACCAAATAACATTACACATAGCTCACCAAATAACATTACACATAGCTCATCAAATAACATATACACAAAGCTCACCAAATAACATAACACATAGCTCACCAAATAACAAAGCTGACCAAATAACATTCATATAGCTCACCAAATAACATTACAAATAGCTCACCAAATAACATTACACATAGCTCATCAAATAACATAACACATAGCTCATCAAATAACATTACACATAGCTCATCAAATAACATAACACATAGCTCACCAAATAACATTACACATAGCTCACCAAATAACAAAGCTGACCAAATAACATTCATATAGCTCACCAAATAACATTCATATAGCTCACCAAATAACATTACACATAGCTCACCAAATAACATTACACATAGCTCATCAAATAACATAACACATAGCTCACCAAATAACATTACACATAGCTCACCAAATAACATTACACATAGCTCACTAAATAACATAACACAAATCTCACCAAATAACATTACATATAGCTCACCAAATAACATAACACAAAGCTCACCAAATAACATTACAAATAGCTCAACAAATAACAAAGCTGACCAAATAACATTCATATAGCTCACCAAATAACATTCATATAGCTCACCAAATAACATTACACATAGCTCACCAAATAACATTACACATAGCTCACCAAATAACATAACACATAGCTCACCAAATAACATAACACAAAGCTCACCAAATAACATTACACATAGCTCACCAAATATCATTACACATAGCTCACCAAATATCATTACACATAGCTCACCAAATAACATTACACATAGCTCACCAAATAACATTACACATAGCTCACCAAATAACATTACACATAGCTCACCAAATATCATTACACATAGCTCACCAAATAACATTACACAAAGCTCACCAAATTACATTACACATAGCTCACCAAATAACATAACACATAGCTCACTAAATAACATTACACATAGCTCACCAAATAACATTACACATAGCTCACTAAATAACATTACACATAGCTCACCAAATAACATTACACATAGCTCACTAAATAACATTACACATAGCTCATCAAATAACATTACACATAGCTCACTAAATAACATAACACAAATCTCACTAAATAACAAAGCTCACCAAATAACATAACACATAGCTCACCAAATAACATTACACAAAACTCAATAAATAACATTACACAAAGCTCACCAAATAACATTACATATAGCTCACCAAATAACATCACACATAGCTCACCAAATAACATTACACATAGCTCACCAAATAACATTACACAAAGCTCACCAAATTACATTACACATAGCTCACCAAATAACATAACACATAGCTCACTAAATAACATTACACAAAGCTCACCAAATAACATTACACATAGCTCACTAAATAACATTACACATAGCTCATCAAATAACATTACATATAGCTCACCAAATAACAAAGCTGACCAAATAACATTCATATAGCTCACCAAATAACATTCATATAGCTCACTAAATAACATTACACATAGCTCACCAAATAACATTACACATAGCTCATCAAATAACATTACACATAGCTCACTAAATAACATAACACAAATCTCACTAAATAACAAAGCTCACCAAATAACATAACACATAGCTCACCAAATAACATTACACAAAACTCAATAAATAACATTACACAAAGCTCACCAAATAACATTACATATAGCTCACCAAATAACATCACACATAGCTCACCAAATAACATTACACATAGCTCACCAAATAACATTACACATAGCTCACCAAATAACATTACACATAGCTCACCAAATAACATTACACATAGCTCACCAAATAACATTACAAATAGCTCACTAAATGATTAAACACAAAGCTCACCAAATAACATTACAAATAGCTCACCAAATAACATTACACATAGCTCACCAAATAACATTACACATAGCTCACTAAATGATTAAACACAAAGCTCACCAAATATCATTACACAATTCTCACCAAATAACATTACATATAGCTCACCAAATAACATTACACATAGCTCATCAAATAACATATTACATTACACAAAGCTCACCAAATAACATTACACAATTCTCACCAAATAACATTACATATAGCTCACTAAATAGCACTATATAATAAAACAATTGTGATAACTTTATCTAAGCTCATCAATGATTTTACTGTACAACATACAGATTGAAGAAAACAAAACAAAAATTGAATAGTTTATCTAACGACACCTCAGTATCACTGGAAGATTCCTGCTGTCAGTTTTCTTAAACATTACAGTTTTTTTTTTAATTTGTGTGATAACCTTACCAAAATATCATACAGTTTTTCAATTTGTATAATAAGCTTACTAAAACATCTTTCAAAAAAATACTTTTTTAAATTGTGTAATAAGTTAATTAAAACATTTTTCAAATAATACAGATATTTGTGTGATAAGCTTACTAAAACATCTTTCAAAAAATACAGTTTTTTGATTTGTGTAATAAGCTTACTAAAACATTTTTCAAAAAATACAGTTTTTTGATTTGTGTAATAAGCTTACTAAAACATCTTTAAACAAAAACAGTTTTTTAATTTGTGTAATAAGCTTACTAAATATCTTTAAACAAATACAGTTTTAAATTGTTATATACCAATTCATAAGACACTGAAATAAGTACATTTCCTGAAGATTAGTCTGACGAAAGTGTGGCGCCAATCACCTTTCTGTATTCTTTCATCACAGAAACTGCAACATCTTATAGAAAATAGTCCTAGATATTTATCACAGAATTCACTGCGTCAAAGAAGTAATAATGATTTTTAGTTTAGATTAAATTATATTGAAGCTGAAAACATTGGGTAAAACTTGGTATAGGTAGAACGTATATATCTGTCACTCATCATCTCTACATGATACATAGCTTTGATTTCATAGAAATCTGATAAAAAAAAACCAGGTTTCTCTTAGGAACTTCTTATTATGACATTCACATAACAGAATATATCGATATTCACACTCTAAAAACCTCGTCAGATATACCTACCCCATCCCCTCCCCTACAAAAAAGAATTAACCTAGATTGTACTTCAAACAAACAATTGATTCTTAGTTCAACCTTATGTATGTAGAGCTTTACAACAATGTAGGCCAGGTATACTTATCAGTACCAGGTGTAAAAATGTTCTGTCAAACAAGCTGCTGAATGAAATGTGTCCAATAGCTGGAGCTGGGAAGTCGTGTTTGACTTTAGTATTGTTGTCAGGTCGGGTAATAATTAGCTGTTCCACCCTGTAGTCTGGCCTGGAATAAATAAATTTGTGATTTCTCCATTCTGTTATACACTAAACTCTGACCTGGAATACATATATACATAAATCTTGTCTGTTATACCCTGTACTCTAACCTGGAATTAATAAATACATCACTGTTGTCTGTTACACCCTGTACTCTCACCTGGAATTAATAAATACATCACTGTTGTCTGTTACACCCTGTACTCTAACCTGGAATTAATAAATACATCACTGTTGTCTGTTACACCCTGTACTCTAACCTGGAATTAATAAATACATCACTGTTGTCTGTTACACCCTGTACTCTCACCTGGAATTAATAAATACATCACTGTTGTCTGTTACACCCTGTACTCTCACCTGGAATTAATAAATACATCACTGTTGTCTGTTACACCCTGTACTCTCACCTGGAATTAATAAATACATCACTGTTGTCTGTTACACCCTGTACTCTATCCTGGAATTAATAAATACACCACTGTTGTCTGTTATACCCTGTACTCTAACCTGGAATTAATAAATACATCACTGTTGTCTGTTACATCCTGTACTCTAACCTGGAATTAATAAATACATCACTGTTGTCTGTTACACCCTGTACTCTAACCTGGGATTAATAAATACATCACTTTTGTCTGTTACACCCTGTACTCTAACCTGGAATTAATAAATACATCACTGTTGTCTGTTACATCCTGTACTCTAACCTGGAATTAATAAATACATCACTGTTGTCTGTTACACCCTGTACTCTAACCTGGAATTAATAAATACATCACTGTTGTCTGTTATACCCTGTACTCTAACCTGGAATTAATAAATACATCACTGTTGTCTGTTATACCCTGTACTCTAACCTGGAATTAATAAATACATCGCTGTTGTCTGTTACACCCTGTACTCTAACCTGGAATTAATAAATACATCGCTGTTGTCTGTTACACCCTGTACTCTCACCTGGAATTAATAAATACATCACTGTTGTCTGTTACACCCTGTACTCTAACCTGGAATTAATAAATACATCACTGTTGTCTGTTACACCCTGTACTCTCACCTGGAATTAATAAATACATCACTGTTGTCTGTTACACCCTGTACTCTAACCTGGAATTAATAAATACATCACTGTTGTCTGTTACACCCTGTACTCTCACCTGGAATTAATAAATACATCACTGTTGTCTGTTACACCCTGTACTCTAACCTGGAATTAATAAATACATCACTGTTGTCTGTTACACCCTGTACTCTAACCTGGAATTAATAAATACATCACTGTTGTCTGTTACACCTTGTACTCTAACCTGGAATTAATAAATACATCACTGTTGTCTGTTACACCCTGTACTCTAACCTGGAATTAATAAATACATCACTGTTGTCTGTTACACCCTGTACTCTAACCTGGAATTAATAAATACATCACTGTTGTCTGTTACACCCTGTACTCTAACCTGGAATTAATAAATACATCACTGTTGTCTGTTACACCCTGTACTCTAACCTGGTGCCTGTTTATCCTACCGTATTTGGTTGCCTTGAATGATTCAATATGTCATCATTTTACCTGTGTTGTTTGTATTTTATACTGTTAAAGTTTTCTGTTTTCTGATTCACATTGTACATTTGTGTGTTGAAATACAACAATGTAACACAAATAATAAAATAGAACAAATTAAAACTGAAACTTGAAGTGGTTTGTCAGGTGAGGAATACCTGTTTCAATATCGGAGATCAATATTCATTTATACCACAAAAGGTGGGTTTTATTTGAATCATTGCATGTAATACCACATGTGGTATAATATTGTAACCTGTTTTGATTTGCTGACAAGATGAACTATGACTGGCATTTCATTCATGGCATTTAAAATGCACATTAAGTACAGTGCATCATTGTTTTTTGGAGTCATTTGATATTGATCTGTTTCAGTGAAAATAATTTTTTACTAGGTTAAATTTGTAAAGAGTTATAATGTATCAATCTGTTTCTCATATCAATTAGGGACGTTGCACCAAAGGTTAAATCATTACACCCACACTGATAACATTAACAAAACATGTGGTTACAAAACAGATCAATCAGTTAACCCTTGGAATAGTGTTTTATTGTGGTAGAAACAGGTCACACAATCTCGTGGTTGGTATAGATATATAGTATCGTGGTAGAAACAGGTCACACAAACTCCTGGTTGTTATATATATATAGTATTGTGGTAGAAACAGGTCACACAAACTCGTGGTTGTTATATATATATAGTATCGTGGTAGAAACAGGTCACACAAACTCGTGGTTGTTATATATATATAGTATCGTGGTAGTAACAGGTCACACAAACTCGTGGTTGTTATATATATATAGTATCGTGGTAGAAACAGGTCACACAAACTCGTGGTTGTTATATATATATAGTATCGTGGTAGAAACAGGTCACACAAACTCGTGGTTGTTATATATATATAGTATGGTGGTAGAAACAGGTCACACAAACTCGTGGTTGTTATATATATATAGTATCGTGGTAGAAACAGGTCACACAAACTCGTGGTTGTTAGATAGGTTATTTCTTTCACTCTCGTTAATTATTTTCAAAAAAGTTATAAAAATCACTCACTCAAGTACATGTTTTTTTTAACTTTTGAAAAGTAAAGAACTCCAAGAAAAGAAATGACATGTACCCTGACCACTCGTTAAGTAACCTCTTTTTATCCTGTAATAGGCTTCAGGTTCGACATAGTTTGTTATTCCTCATACAAAGTTGAGGTTGTGCTCAAAGTATGTTGAAATAGCACCAAAAATGTACACAACACACATGCATCAACAGAGCCAAACAAGGATAAAAGCTATACCATTGACTTGTATCCTCTTCCTTGGACTAGTCATAGATAATAAGGACTAGTTTTCAATGTATCTAAGAGGGGACTGCAAAAAAAATAAAAATAAAATTGACCGAAAGAAAAGTCATGATTTATGTTATTGGACAGTGAATTATGTATATCCTGATGGGCTTATTACCAGGCATGGGCTTATTGGCAGATAAATATGGTAGATTTCATCCAAACTTACCATGGATAGAGAACTGATATGTTGGGCAGGGTTGGTGTCAGAGGAGGTGATACTGATGGGCAGTCCTTATATGAACAGGCAGACAAGTTCCCAAACTCCATGTCACATGGCACTGTCTTAGTATTCATGGGTTTTAGTATGTATTTTCCTGGTCTTGACCATGATGTATTCTGCACATGGAAATCAATTTCAAATGGTGTTGGACCATTTGATGACGATCCTAGATAGTTAAGTAATTCTGTGGCATTGCAGTCAGTCGCAGATCTTCCACATAAGACACTGATAGCACGTTCCTGAATACCGGGTATCATAACGTCTTTACATGAATTATACATTCCATTCGCAAAAGTTGTTGTCATGGCATAATCAACTGACAGGACTGTAGCGACCCCTCTGTCATTAGGAGCTTGAGATTTGACCCCCACAGAAGTGCTATGATGAGGGTTACATGTCAGGAAACAAAATATATTGAGGAAGTTGTAGTAGCAGGAAGGGCATGCTTGGAGTAATTGCTTTGCCACAGCCATATGTGTCTCCATGGTAACCAGCTGAGATGCACTGCAACAGGTAAGGGAAGAATTTCCTGATGAAAAAAAACAAAACAGACAATTAATATCAGATACTGTAAATCACCTATATTTCTCAAATACTTTATTTTGCAAACTTGTCACTTAAGAAAATATTTCAAATACATGATTTTGCAAAGTGATCCAGAAATGACTTTAACTTCACGAATGATGATTTATTTGACATATGGACTCTGATATCAGTAACGAAATCAACATGGATGTCATCAAATAATCACCAGGAATTTGAATTCGTGATTAAATCTCCTCATGTAGTAATGCGAAAATAAATCTCATGCAAAATATGGGTCACTTAAAGTAATTATGAGACCTTGTGTCCTTACTGAACACATTGGCTTTATCTAATAAATTACTGAAGGATATGAACATTATTATAAGTGTTTAAATGTTCTCCTTTGTTTCACACTACCTGCAAATGTTGCCCTACTTTGTGTGAATGTCTTTTTCACTGTCACTATCTTATCAAACATAACTTCATTTACAAAAATTTCAAACAACGATTATTTTATTGAGAGGCTACCTGAATAATAGCCATATTTAATTCATAAAATAATTGTCTTTTTTTTCAGGCATTATAGACAGATTTACCTGTAGATAGGTGTCACAGTCAGATTTACCTATCTATAGCTGTCAGAGACTGGTTTACCTGTCCATAGCTGTCACAGACAGACTTTAGTGTCTATAGCCGTCACAGACAGGTTTACCTGTCAATAGATGTCACAGACAGGTTTACCTGTCAATAGATGTCACAGACAGGTTTACCTGTTGATAGGTATCACAGACAGATTTACCTGTTGATAGGTATCACAAACAGGTTTACCTGTCAATAGATGTCACAGACAGGTTTACCTGTTGATAGGTATCACAGACAGATTTACCTGTTGATAGATGTCACAGACAGATTTACCTGTTGATAGGTATCACAGACAGATTTACCTGTCAATAGATGTCACAGACTGGTTTACCTGTTGATAGGTGTCACAGACAGATTTACCTGTTGATAGGTATCACAGACAGATTTACCTGTCAATAGATGTCACAGACTGGTTTACCTGTTGATAGGTATCACAGACAGATTTACCTGTTGATAGATGTCACAGACAGATTTACCTGTTGATAGGTATCACAGACAGATTTACCTGTCAATAGATGTCACAGACTGGTTTACCTGTTGATAGGTATCACAGACAGATTTACCTGTTGATAGGTATCACAGACAGATTTACCTGTTGATAGGTATCACAGACAGGTTTACCTGTTGATAGGTATCACAGACAGATTTACCTGTTGATAGGTATCACAGACAGGTTTACCTGTTGATAGGTATCACAGACAGGTTTACCTGTTGATAGGTATCACAGACAGATTTACCTGTTGATAGGTATCAAAGACAGATTTACCTGTTGATAGGTATCACAGACAGGTTTACCTGTTGATAGGTATCACAAACAGATTTACCTCTTGATAGGTATCACAGACAGATTTACCTGTTGATAGGTATCACAGACAGGTTTACCTGTTGATAGGTGTCACAGACAGATTTACCTGTCCATTAGTGTCATAGACAGACTTACTTGTTGATAAGTGTCAGACTGGTTTACCTGTAGATAGATGTCACAGACAGATTTACCTGTTGATAGGTATCACAGACAGATTTACCTGTCCATAACTTTCACAAACAGATTTACCTATCTATAGCTGTCAACAGACAGATTTACCTGTCTATTAGTGTCAGACTGGTTTACCTATCGATAGGTGTCACAGACAGGTTTACCTGTCTATTAGTGTCATAGACAGACTTACTTGTTGATAAGTGTCAGACTGGTTTACCTGTTGATAGATGTCGCAGACAGATTTACCTGTTGATAGGTATCACAGACAGATTTACCTGTCCATAACTTTCACAAACAGATTTACCTATCTATAGCTGTCAACAGACAGATTTACCTGTCTATTAGTGTCAGACAGGTTTACCTGTTGATAGGTGTCACAGACAGGTTTACCTGTTGATAGGTGTCACAGACAGATTTACCTGTTGATTGGTGTCACAGACACATATACCTGTTGATAGGTGTCACAGACAGATTTACCTGTTGATAAGTGTCACAGACAGATTTACCTGTCCATTAGTGTCATAGACAGACTTACTTGTTGATAAGTGTCAGACTGGTTTACCTGTAGATAGATGTCACAGACAGATTTACCTGTTGATAGGTATCACAGACAGATTTACCTGTCCATAACTTTCACAAACAGATTTACCTATCTATAGCTGTCAACAGACAGATTTACCTGTCTATTAGTGTCAGACTGGTTTACCTATCGATAGGTGTCACAGACAGGTTTACCTGTCTATTAGTGTCATAGACAGACTTACTTGTTGATAAGTGTCAGACTGGTTTACCTGTTGATAGATGTCGCAGACAGATTTACCTGTTGATAGGTATCACAGACAGATTTACCTGTCCATAACTTTCACAAACAGATTTACCTATCTATAGCTGTCAACAGACAGATTTACCTGTCTATTAGTGTCAGACAGGTTTACCTGTTGATAGGTGTCACAGACAGGTTTACCTGTTGATAGGTGTCACAGACAGGTTTACCTGTTGATAGGTGTCACAGACAGATTTACCTGTTGATTGGTGTCACAGACACATATACCTGTTGATAGGTGTCACAGACAGATTTACCTGTTGATAAGTGTCACAGACAGGTTTACCTGTCTATTAGTGTCATAGACAGACTTACTTGTTGATAAGTGTCAGACTGGTTTACCTGTTGATAGATGTCGCAGACAGATTTACCTGTTGATAGGTATCACAGACAGATTTACCTGTCCATAAATTTCACAAACAGATTTACCTATCTATAGCTGTCAGCAGACAGATTAACCTGTCTATTAGTGTCAGACAGGTTTACCTGTTGATAGGTGTCACAGACAGGTTTACCTGTTGATAGGTGTCACAGACAGGTTTACCTGTTGATAGGTGTCACAGACAGATTTACCTGTTGATAAGTGTCACAGACAGGTTTACCTGTTGATTGGTGTCACAGACATATTTCCCTGTTGATAGGTGTCACAGACAGATTTACCTGTTGATAGGTGTCACAGACAGGTTGACCTGTCTATTAGTGTCAGACAGGTTTACCTGTTGATAGGTGTCACAGACAGATTTACCTGTTGATAGGTATCACAGACAGGTTTACCTGTTGATAGGTGTCACAGAAAGATTAACCTGTCTATTAGTGTCATAGACAGACTTACTTGTTGATAAGTGTCAGACTGGTTTACCTGTTGATAGGTATCACAGACAGATTTACCTGTCCATAACTTTCACAAACAGATTTACCTATCTATAGCTGTCAACAGACAGATTAACCTGTCTATTAGTGTCAGACTGGTTTACCTATCGATAGGTGTCACAGACAGGTTTACCTGTCTATTAGTGTCATAGACAGACTTACTTGTTGATAAGTGTCAGACTGGTTTACCTATTGATAGATGTCACAGACAGATTTACCTGTTGATAGGTATCACAGACAGATTTACCTATCTATAGCTGTCAACAGACAGATTTATCTGTCTATTAGTGTCAGACAGGTTTACCTGTCGATAGGTGTCACAGACAGGTTTACCTGTTGATAGGTGTCACAGACAGGTGTACCTGTTGATAGGTGTCAGAGACAGATTTACCTGTTGATTGGTGTCACAGACACATATACCTGTTGATAGGTGTCACAGACAGATTTACCTGTTGATAAGTGTCACAGACAGGTTTACCTGTTGATTGGTGTCACAGACATATTTCCCTGTTGATAGGTGTCACAGACAGATTTACCTGTTGATAGGTGTCACAGACAGGTTGACCTGTCTATTAGTGTCAGACAGGTTTACCTGTTGATAGGTGTCACAGACAGATTTACCTGTTGATAGGTATCACAGACAGGTTTACCTGTTGATAGGTGTCACAGAAAGATTAACCTGTTGATAGATGTCACAGACAGATTAACCTGTTGATAGTTGTCACAGACTGGTGTACCTATCGATAGGTGTCACAGACAGCTTTACCTGTCTATTAGTGTCATAGACAGACTTACTTGTTGATAAGTGTCAGACTGGTTTACCTGTTGATAGGTATCACAGACAGATTTACCTGTCCATAACTTTCACAAACAGATTTACCTATCTATAGCTGTCAACAGACAGATTAACCTGTCTATTAGTGTCAGACTGGTTTACCTATCAATAGGTGTCACAGACAGGTTTACCTGTCTATTAGTGTCATAGACAGACTTACTTGTTGATAAGTGTCAGACTGGTTTACCTGTTGATAGATGTCACAGACAGATTTACCTGTTGATAGGTATCACAGACAGATTTACCTGTCCATAACTTTCACAAACAGATTTACCTATCTATAGCTGTCAACAGACAGATTTACCTGTCTATTAGTGTCAGACAGGTTTACCCGTTGATAGGTGTCACAGACAGGTTTACCTGTTGATAGGTGTCACAGACAGGTTTACCTGTTGATAGGTGTCACAGACAGATTTACCTGTTGATTGGTGTCACAGACAGATTTACCTGTTGATAGGTGTCACAGACAGATTTACCTGTTGATAAGTGTCACAGACAGGTTTACCTGTTGATAGGTGTCACAGACTGGTTTACCTGTTGATAGGTGTCACAGACTGGTTTACCTGTTGATAGGTGTCACAGACAGATTTACCTGTTGATAAGTGTCACAGACAGGTTTACCTGTTGATTGGTGTCACAGACATATTTCCCTGTTGATAGGTGTCACAGACAGATTTACCTGTTGATAGGTGTCACAGACAGGTTGACCTGTCTATTAGTGTCAGACAGGTTTACCTGTTGATAGGTGTCACAGACAGATTTACCTGTTGATAGGTGTCACAGACAGGTTTACTTGTTGATAGGTGTCACAGACAGATTTACCTGTTGATAGGAGTCACAGACAGATTTACCTGTTGATTGGTGTCACAGACAGATTTACCTGTCTATTAGTGTCATAGACAGACTTACTTGTTGATAAGTGTCAGACTGGTTTACCTGTTGATAGATGTCGCAGACAGATTTACCTGTTGATAGGTGTCATAGACAGATTTACCTGTTGATAGGTGTCACAGACAGGTTGACCTGTCTATTAGTGTCAGACAGGTTTACCTGTTGATAGGTGTCACAGACAGATTTACCTGTTGATAGGTGTCACAGACAGGTTTACCTGTTGATAGGTGTCACAGACAGATTAACCTGTTGATAGTTGTCACAGACAGATTAACCTGTTGATAGGTGTCACAGACAGATTTCCCTGTTGATAGGTGTCACAGACAGATTTACCTGTTGATAGGTGTCACAGACAGGTTGACCTGTCTATTAGTGTCAGACAGGTTTACCTGTTGATAGATGTCACAGACACATTTACCTGTTGATAGGTGTCACAGACACGTTTACCTGTTGATATGAGTCACAGACAGATTTACCTGTTGATTGGTGTCACAGACAGATTTACCTGTTGATAGGTGTCACAGACAGATTAACCTGTTGATAGTTGTCACAGACAGATTAACCTGTTGATAGGTGTCACAGACAGATTTACCTGTTGATAGGTGTCACAGACTGGTTTACCTGTTGATAGGTGTCACAGAAAGATTAAACTGTTGATAGATGTCACAGACAGATTAACCTGTTGATAGTTGTCACAGACTGGTTTACCTATCGATAGGTGTCACAGACAGGTTTACCTGTCTATTAGTGTCATAGACAGACTTACTTGTTGATAAGTGTCAGACTGGTTTACCTGTTGATAGATGTCGCAGACAGATTTACCTGTTGATAGGTATCACAGACAGATTTACCTGTCCATAACTTTCATAAACAGATTTACCTATCTATAGCTGTCAACAGACAGATTTACCTCTGTATTAGTGTCAGACAGGTTTACCTGTTGATAGGTGTCACAGACAGGTTTACCTGTTGATAGGTGTCACAGACAGATTTACCTGTTGATTGGTGTCACAGACAGATTTACCTGTTGATAGGTGTCACAGACAGATTTACCTGTTGATAAGTGTCACAGACAGATTTACCTGTTGATTGGTGTCACAGACATATTTCCCTGTTGATAGGTGTCATAGACAGATTTACCTGTTGATAGGTGTCACAGACAGGTTGACCTGTCTATTAGTGTCAGACAGGTTTACCTGTTGATAGGTGTCACAGACAGATTTACCTGTTGATAGGTGTCACAGACAGGTTTACCTGTTGATAGGTGTCACTGACAGATTTACCTGTTGATAGGAGTCACAGACAGATTTACCTGTTGATTGGTGTCACAGACAGATTTACCTGTTGATAGGTGTCACAGACAGATTAACCTGTTGATAGTTGTCACAGACAGATTAACCTGTTGATAGGTGTCACAGACAGATTTACCAGTTGATAGGTGTCACAGACAGGTTTACCGTTGATAGGTGTCACAGAAAGATTAACCTGTTGATAGATGTCACAGACAGATTAACCTGTTGATAGTTGTCACAGACTGGTTTACCTATCGATAGGTGTCACAGACAGCTTTACCTGTCTATTAGTGTCATAGACAGACTTACTTGTTGATAAGTGTCAGACTGGTTTACCTGTTGATAGATGTCACAGACAGATTAACCTGTTGATAGTTGTCACAGACTGGTTTACCTATCGATAGGTGTCACAGACAGCTTTACCTGTCTATTAGTGTCATAGACAGACTTACTTGTTGATAAGTGTCAGACTGGTTGTTTACCTGTTGATAGATGTCACTGACAGATTTACCTGTTGATAGGTATCACAGACAGATTTTCCTGTCCATAACTTTCACAAACAGATTTACCTATCTATAGCTATCAACACACAGATTTACCTGTCTATTAGTGTCAGACTGGTTTACCTATCGATAGGTGTCACAGACAGGTTTACCTGTCTATTAGTGTCATAGACAGACTTACCTGTTGATAGATGTCACTGACAGATTTACCTGTTGATAGGTATCACAGACAGATTTTCCTGTCCATAACTTTCACAAACAGATTTACCTATCTATAGCTATCAACAGACAGATTTACCTGTCTATTAGTGTCAGACAGGTTTACCTGTTGATAGGTGTCACAGACAGGTTTACCTGTTGATAGGTGTCACAGACAGGTTTACCTGTTGATAGGTGTCACAGACAGATTTACCTGTTGATTGGTGTCACAGACAGATTTACCTGTTGATAGGTGTCACAGACAGATTTACCTGTTGATAGGTGTCACAGACTGGTTTACCTGTTGATAGGTGTCACAGACATATTTACCTGTTGATAGGTGTCACAGACAGATTTACCTGTTGATAGATGTCACAGACAGATTTACCTGTCACTTGAACATAACATGATTACAGGTGCTGGTGATGTGTGAATATGTACAAGTGTCAAAAACAACTTAATTTAGAACAGATATCAGTTACTGGTGTACCTATGAACAGATGACAGAAACAGGTACACCTGTATACAGATGTTATATACAGGTGTACCTATACATGTACAAGTGTCATTAACCAGGGTACCTGTAGACAAGTGTCTGAGACAGGTGTACCTTTGTAGAGATGTAAGTGAAAGGCATACTTGTGTCCAGCTGTCAGTGGCAGATGTATCTGTGAAAAGGTGTCAGTGATAGGTAAACCTTTATGCTGGTGACAGCGACTTTTTGTACCTGTGCACAGGTGTAAGTTACAGATGTATTTGTGAACTTATTGACAGGTATGCTTGTCCAAAAGCATAACAACCAGGTGAACATGTGTACAGGTGACATTGACAGATTTACCTGTGAACAGGTGTTATTGACAGGTATATTTGTCCAAAAGCATAATAAACAGGTGAATATGTGTTCAGGCGATATTGATAGGTTTACCTGTAAACAGGTGTACCTATGGACAGGTGTCAGTAATAGGTGTACCTGTGCACTTGAGTCAGCGAGTGTGTATCAGTATACTTGCAATTGGCTCTCCAAGACCATTGCACCTGTGCACTTGAATCAGTGAGTGTGTATCTATGTACTTTGTTGTCCAGAATAAGTGTACCTGTATATAGGTACCTGGAAATAGTTACCTGTGTACAGGTGTCAGGGACTGGAATAATTGTATATTGGTGACAAAGGCCAATGTACATGTTGACAGGTGTATTTGTCCAGAAGTGTAACAGACAGGTGAACATGTGCATGATGTTGGTAGGTGTACATGTGTACAGCTGTCAGAAACAAGTTACCTATTGACAGGTGTCATAGACAGGTGTACTTGTGGACAGGTGACAGTGAAAAGGTTTACCTGTGAACAGTTGTACCTATGGACAAGTGTATCTATGCACAGATGTCAGTAGTTAAGGTGTACCTGTGTACTGATATTACAGACGACTGTACCTGTGAATTTGAGTCACTAACTGTTTATCGGTGTACTTGGGTTTTCCAAGTCAGTGTACCTGTGTACAGATGTCAGTGACAGGTGTACCTGTGTACAGGTCAACCTATGGACAGGTGTCAATGACGGACGTGCATGTACCTGTAGGTGTATCTGTGCACATATGACAATGACAGACGTTTGTAACAAAGTGTGCACTTTACCTGCAGTACATATAGTGTTGAAAGTTCGCAATTTGAACATACCTGTGTACAACTGAGGACAATATTGTTCAAGTCGGCTCAACGCCATTGGGTCTGTCAGCGGTTTGCCAGGACCATTGTACACACAGTTTTGTTTGCCAGTAAGATTGTCCGTGCATTCCCCATACCATATACAGTGTCCATTATCTGTGTCGCCATTTATCTGCGTTACATAATATACGATATCTTTAAAATATATATACATTCCCATTAAGTCAATTGAAATGTTGAAATATCGATGTTACAAGAAACTTACTTCTGGGACGAAAAACAAAATAACAGCAAACACAAGTATCGCCAAAGAGTGAAAAGATGGTCTATAACAGGTCATCATCCTGTTTGAACAAAAGCAATCCATTGAACTACGATTTGGAGCCCAACAACGCTATTCAGATTAGAACAGCGTATATCTTGTTTCCAAATAAAAGGGGGTGTTAACCTAAGATAATTATCAGTTGCATCAAAGGTTAAAAGTTGATAACAACTGGAAAATAATTAAATAAATTCAATACACTATGAATAATCGAAAATTGATTTCCATCTTATTTTTTCTGAATTAAGTTAAAGGCGTATATAAAATACGAACAAAGAGGATTGTTTTCTTTAAATATATCGCCAAAATTTTAGATAGCGTTCCGTCTCTTCATACATTCTGCAATTTACATATTCAAGATGGCGAATCCCTATGGACAGGTAAGTTTGTAAGCTAAACTCCGCTATTTACCAGCATTCTTGGCGAGATGTTGGAGCATTGCTATGTATAGGTCCTATATTATAATAGAACATTGTTGACCTACATTTCGTTCACTTCATGAAAGCCAGTTTTGTTCTTATTTGTTGATACGTCATCGATTTAATTCGAGTTAATGTCAAATTATGACCAGAGCCGATGACTTCCTCGTTTCGATCCAATTATATTTAACATTTCTCCTTTTTAGGGGTTTCAGAACTCCATCAATAATGATGTCTGCACACGTGCACATCAACGTTACGGGAAGCGGTTGTTAACAACGACTGTTTACTTTTTTTCATTATGATGGTATAAGTTAACAATATAACAAACACTGTGTTGTGTTAGTGTGTGCTGGTTTCAACTGTTGAGCACTGTTCCAGGACTGCATGGATCTTGTTATCCCTTTTAGGATTCCTCCTCTAGATGCATCTATATCGGACGTTTGACAATGTCCCCTCGCCGGATTAAAGACATTGTCCAACGTCCGATATAAATGAATATAGGGGAAGAATTTCAAAAGGGATCACTTATCTATTTGGATAACACTATTTATTCCTCTATTATGTAAACGTCCACTTATGTAGCTAACTGTTACTACTGTATATAGTTGCATATGTTCATTGTGGTTTAATTTGCTACATTCTTCTGGCCAACCATACTGTATTTATGAAATGGTTTTCATAGCTGTTGCAATGGCTGATAAATGTTTACTACACTAATGTTATGTTTATTTTGCTAAAGAATATCTCAGTGATATCCATGATCATTTTCATAGCTGTTTCAATGGCTCAGAAACAAGGCCTAGATGTTATCACTAAAGACTCCGAAACAAGGCCTAGAAGTTATCACTAAAGACTCAGAAACAAGGCCTACATGTAGAAGTTATCAGTAAAGACTCAGAAACAAGGCCTAGAAGTTATCACTAAAGATTCAGAAACAAGGCCAACACGTTGTCACTAAAGACTCAGAAACAAGGCCTAGAAGTTATCACTAAAGACTCAGAAACAAGGCCTACATGTAGAAGTTATCAGTAAAGACTCAGAAACACGGCCTAGATGTTATCACTAAAGATTCAGAAACAAGGCCAACACATTGTCACTAAAGACTCCGAAACAAGGCCTAGAAGTTATCACTAAAGACTCAGAAACAAGGCCTACATGTAGAAGTTATCAGTAAAGACTCAGAAACACGGCCTAGATGTTATCACTAAAGATTCAGAAACAAGGCCAACACGTTGTCACTAAAGACTCAGAAACAAGGCCTAGATGTTGTCACTAAAGACTCAGAAACAAGGGCTCGATGTTATCACTAAAGACTCAGAAACAAGGCCTAGAAGTTATCACTAAAGACTCAGAAACAAGGCCTAGAAGTTATCACTAAAGACTCAGAAACAAGGCCTAGATGTTATCACTAAAGACTCAGAAACAAGGCCTAGAAGTTATCACTAAAGAAACAAGGCCTACATGTTGTCACTAAAGACTCAGAAACAAGGCTTAGATGTTGTCACTAAAGACTCAGAAACAAGGCCTAGATGTTGTCACTAAAGACTCAGAAACAAGGCCTAGAAGATATCAGTAAAGACTCATAAACAAGGCCTAGATGTTATCACTGTTGTCATTAAAGACTCAGAAACAAGGCCTAGATGTTGTCACTAAAGACTCAGAAACAAGGGCTCGATGTTATCACTAAAGACTCAGAAACAAGGCCTAGAAGTTATCACTAAAGACTCAGAAACAAGGCCTAGATGTTATCACTAAAGACCCAGAAACAAGGCCTAGAAGTTATCACTAAAGACTCAGAAACAAGGCCTAGATGTTATCACTAAAGACTGAGAAACAAGGCCTAGAAGTTATCACTAAAGACTCAGAAACAAGGCCTAGATGTTATCACTAAAGACTCAGAAACAAGGGCTCGATGTTATCACTAAAGACTCAGAAACAAGGCCTAGAAGTTATCAGTAAAGGCTCAGAAACAAGGCCAACATGTTGTCACTAAAGACTCAGAAACAAGGCCTAGACATTATTACTAAAGATTCAGAAACAAGGCCTACATGTTGTCACTAAAGACTCAGAAACAAGGCCTAGATGTTGTCAGTAAAGACTCAGAAACAAGGCCTAGACATTATTACTAAAGATTCAGAAACAAGGCCAACATGTTGTCACTAAAGACTCAGAAACAAGGCCTAGATGTTATCACTAAAGACTCAGAAACAAGGCCTAGACATTATTACTAAAGATTCAGAAACAAAGCCTACATGTTGTCACTAAAGACTGAGAAACAAGGCCTAGATGTTGTCAGTAAAGACTTAGAAACAAGGCCTGCATGTTATTACTAAAGACTCAGAAACAAGGCCTAGAAGTTACCAGTGAAGACTCAGAAACAAGGCCTTGATGTTATCACTAAAGACTTCATGAAGAATATTGGTATAGTATTCTGACAATGTCTAGTGGCCTGTATTGAGTATGCTCTGTCCCCAACACCAGATAGTAGACAATGTCTAGTGGCCTGTATTGAGTATGCTCTGTCCCCATCACCAAACAGTAGACAATGTCTTGTGGCCTGTATTGAGTATCCTCTGTCCCCAACACCAGACAGTAGACAATGTCTAGTGGTCTGTATTGAGTATGCTCTGTCCCCAACTCCAGACAGTAGACAATGTCAAGTGGCCTGTATTGAGTATCCTCTGTCCCCAACACCAGACAGTAGACAATGTCTAGTGGTCTGTATTCAGTATCCTCTGTCCCCAACACCAGACAGTAGACAATGTCTAGTGGTCTGTATTCAGTATCCTCTGTCCCCAACACCAGACAGTAGACAATGTCTAGTGGTCTGTATTCAGTATCCTCTGTCCCCAACACCAGACAGTAGACAATGTCTAGTGGTCTGTATTCAGTATCCTCTGTCCCCAACACCAGACAGTACACAATGTCTAGTGGTCTGTATTTAGTATCCTCTGTCCCCAACACCAGACAGTAGACAATGTCTAGTGGTCTGTATTTAGTATCCTCTGTCCCCAACACCAGACAGTACACAATGTCTAGTGGTCTGTATTTAGTATCCTCTGTCCCCAACACCAGACAGTACACAATGTCTAGTGGTCTGTATTTAGTATCCTCCCCAAACACCAGACAGTAGACAATGTCTAGTGGTCTGTATTTAGTATCCTCTGTCCCCAACACCAGACAGTACACAATGTCTAGTGGTCTGTATTTAGTATCCTCTGTCCCCAACACCAGACAGTACACAATGTCTAGTGGTCTGTATTTAGTATCCTCCCCAACACCAGACAGTATACAATGTCTAGTGGCCTGTATTGAGTATGCTTCCCCAACACCAGACAGTAGACAATGTCTAGTGGTCTGTATTGAGTATCCTCTGTCCCCAACACCAGACAGTAGACAATGTCTAGTGGCCTGTATTGAGTATCCTCTGTCCCCAACACCAGACAGTAGACAATGTCTAGTGGTCTGTATTTAGTATCCTCTGTCCCCAACACCAGACAGTAGACAATGTCTAGTGGTCTGTATTGAGTATCCTCTGTCCCCAACACCAGACAGTAGACAATGTCTAGTGGCCTGTATTGAGTATGCTTCCCCAACACCAGACAGTAGACAATGTCTAGTGGTCGGTATTGAGTATCCTCTGTCCCTAACACCAGACAGTAGACAATGTCTAGTGGTCTGTATTTAGTATCCTCTGTCCCCAACACCAGACAGTAGACAATGTCTAGTGGCCTGTATTGAGTATGCTCTGTCCCCAACACCAGACAGTAGACAATGTCTAGTGGCCTGTATGTCTAGTGGCCTGTATTGAGTCTGTCCCCAACACCAGACAGTAGACAATGTCTAGTGGTGTATTGAGTATCTGTCCCCAACACCAGACAGTACACAATGTCTAGTGGTCTGTATTTAGTATCCTCTGTCCCCAACACCAGACAGTACACAATGTCTAGTGGTCTGTATTTAGTATCCTCTGTCCCGAACAACAGACAGTACACAATGTCTAGTGGTCTGCATTTAGTATCCTCTGTCCCCAACACCAGACAGTAGACAATGTCTAGTGGTCTGTATTTAGTATCCTCTGTCCCCAACACCAGACAGTAGACAATGTCTAGTGGTCTGTATTTAGTATCCTCTGTCCCCAACACCAGACAGTACACAATGTCTAGTGGTCTGTATTTAGAGTATGTCTAGTCCCCAACACCAGACAGTACACAATGTCTAGTGGTCTGTATTCAGTATCCTCTGTCCCCAACACCAGACAGTACACAATGTCTAGTGGTCTGTATTTAGTATCCTCTGTCCCCAACACCAGACAGTACACAATGTCTAGTGGTCTGTATTTAGTATCCTCTGTCCCCAACACCAGACAGTACACAATGTCTAGTGGTCTGTATTCAGTATCCTCTGTCCCCAACACCAGACAGTAGACAATGTCTAGTGGTCTGTATTTAGTATCCTCTGTCCCCAACACCAGACAGTAGACAATGTCTAGTGGTCTGTATTCAGTATGCTCTGTCCCCAACACCAGACAGTAGACAATGTCTAGTGGCCTGTATTGAGTATCCTCTGTCCCCAACACCAGACAGTAGACAATGTCTAGTGGTCTGTATTTAGTATCCTCCGTCCCCAACACCAGACAGTACACAATGTCTAGTGGCCTGTATTGAGTATGCTTCCACAACACCAGACAGTAGACAATGTCTAGTGGTCTGTATTTAGTATCCTCTGTCCCCAACACCAGACAGTAGACAATGTCTAGTGGTCTGTATTGAGTATCCTCTGTCCCCAACACCAGACAGTACACAATGTCTAGTGGTCTATTTAGTATTGTCCCCAACACCAGACAGTAGACAATCCTGTATTTAGTATCTGTCCCCAACACCAGACAGTACACAATGTCTAGTGGCCAGTAGAATGTTATTGTAAGAAATCAGAATATCTTAAGCTTACTGTGAAATCACTAATTTTCGTGGATGGTTTATTTTTGTTGAATTTCTGTGAATTCTTCATTTATAAATTGATATGTCTTCAAAATGATCAACAGATTAATATTGACATAGATCATATATATGATGTAGTCCTTACAGGTTCCCTGAGCTTTTTATCCACAAAATCGATCGACAGTGTCAGTGAAAATTTCTAATTTTGTAGAACCACAAGATATGAGGCCAACAAAAGGACATGATTTTACTGTAATTTTGCAGATTGTCAGATCAACATCAGTTAAAAAATTTTTATGCACTATTGATGAACATTCTGATGAAATGTTGTATATGATACTGAGTTACCTAATTATGGTAATATTAGTACACGTTCATAAAGCTGTAATAAAAATATATTGACAAATATAGTCGCAAAAATGTATTTGTTTCAGCAACCATATGGACAGGCCCCTTATGGTGGTCCACCCCCTGGACAACCAGGATATGGAGCCCCACCACCTGCTCAATATGTTCCACCTCAACCTGGTTCATATGGTGCCCCGGGAATGCCCCCAGGAATGCCGGGACAACCTGGAATGCCTGGACAGATGCCATATGGAGGGGCTCCAATGGGAGGTATATAAAGTCAGACTGACAAAATATTTTTGAATAGACTACAGAGTACTGGTATATTCCATCATATCAATGGGAAAAGTTTAGGCCACCTGACCCGAAAGCTGGGCCAGTATAAGAGAACTTAATTATGGAATGGTGCAGTGTATGTTGTCTATCCATCTGTCAATTTTTTATGCTGCATGAAAAAAAAATTTGGAAGGGGGTGGGGAATGGAGGTCGGGGAGCATAGCTTATTGTCTGTCCGTCCATCTGTCTCAAGTGTCTGTCTTTTTGTGTTCAAAGTATAACTTCGATAGCATTTTAACTTGGTGGATGTGCCCTTTGTTCAAATTTTTTGTCCAATAAGATTGTTTCCGGAGAGCATTCATCAGTTTCACTGATACTCTTGTTTCCTCTATAAGCAACTGAAGCAATTTTAACCAATTTGGCCAGATGCAACCTTGGGGAAAGAAAACCAATATTGTACAAAAAATGGGGCTGGAGAAAATTTAGGAAAGTCTTTTACATATTTGCTGGCTTGACATGTACAAATTTTGACTAGTAATTTCCATATTATATATATAATACTTTACCAAGAATGTAGTAAGAACACCAAAGAATGTACTCTTCACAACCTCAATGTCTACTTAAACATGTTATCAACTAAAATGTGGTCTTAGTTTAATAATCATTTAAAAAATTAACATGTCTAAGATATCATTTTCTTGTTGAAGGGCCTCCTCCAGGTGTAGATCCACAGGTATACCAGTGGTTTCAATCTGTGGACAGCGACAGGAGTGGGCAGATCACAGCCATAGAACTTCAACAGGCCCTGGTCAATGCAAACTGGTCTCACTTTAACGCAGAGACCACCAGACTCATGATAGGTAAGACTTCGGCAGGCCCTGGTTACCATCATCTGGTCTCACTTTAATGTAGAGACCACCAGACTCACAAAAGGTAAGACTTCAGCAGGCCCTGGTTACCATCATCTGGTCTCACTTTAATGTAGAGACCACCAGACTCACAATAGGTAAGACTTCAGCAGGCCCTGGTTACCATCATCTGGTCTCACTTTAATGTAGAGACCACCAGACTCACAAAAGGTAAGACTTCGGCAGGCCCTGGTTACCATCATCTGGTCTCACTTTAATACAGTGATCACCAGACTCATGATAGGTAAGACTTCGGCAGGCCCTGGTTACCATCATCTGGTCTCACTTTAATGTAGAGACCACCAGACTCACAAAAGGTAAGACTTCGGCAGGCCCTGGTTACCATCATCTGGTCTCACTTTAATGTAGAGACCACCAGACTCACAAAAGGTAAGACTTCAGCAGGCCTTGGTTACCATCATCTGGTCTCACTTAAATACAGTGATCACCAGACTCGTGATAGGTAAGACTTCAGCAGGCCCTGGTTACCATCATCTGGTCTCACTTTAATAACAAAAGGTAAGATCGTGATAGGTAAGACTTCGGCAGGCCACAATCTGGTCTCACTTTAATGTAGAGACCACCAGACTCACGACTTCAGCAGGCCCTGGTTACCATCATCTGGTCTCACTTTAATACAGAAACCACAAGACTCATGATAGGTAAGACTTCGGCAGGCCCTGGTTACCATCATCTGGTCTCACTTTAATACAGTGATCACCAGACTCATGATAGGTAAGACTTCGGCAGGCCCTGGTTACCATCATCTGGTCTCACTTTAATGCTAGAAACACCGATCACCGACTACGGTAAGACTTCGGCAGGCCCTGGTTACCATCATCTGGTCTCGCTTTAATGTAGAGACCACCAGACTCATGATAGGTAAGACTTCAGCAGGCCCTGGTTACCATCATCTGGTCTCACTTTAATACAGTGATCACCAGACTCATGATAGGTAAGACTTCGGCAGGCCCTGGTTACCATCATCTGGTCTCACTTTAATACAGTGATCACCAGACTCATGATAGGTAAGACTTCGGCAGGCCCTGGTTACCATCATCTGGTCTCACTTTAATGTAGAGACCACCAGACTCAGGATAGATTATGATTATCATTTTTTGAGGAATTATCAAGATTTTTATGAGCTTATCAATAACTGTTGATGGGCTGTTCAAATCTTTGTCCATTTTCTGTCATCCATCCAGAAACAATTCTGAGCATTTTTGTTATCTGAAGTAAGAAGTAATGAATGGGTATTTCTCCATAACAAAATGGCTAACAGCTGGTCATTTTTGGCATTGAAAGTTTGTTATTGCTATTTCTTGAGAAGAACTGGATGAATGTGTGTGAATTTCATATGTATGTTCCAACTGGTTCTAAGTTGTATCATTTTGATTTTGGGATTGATCAGAAAAACAAAAAGACTGACAGTAACCATCTTTGATTTCAGGGATAAAGATTGTTAACGCTGCTTATAAAGAGAATTCTTAAAAACCACATTATTACAGTAAGATGAAAGGACAGAATAGAAAAGATCTGATTTTTAATGAGCAAATGAAAATCAAACAATTGTGGATGCCGAGGTCCCTCTTGGGTGTCTTATAATGATCATTTTTTACTTTTTAGGAATGTTTGATCGAGATTTCACAGGAACTATCAATTTGCATGAGTTTGCTGCCCTTTGGAATTATATTCAGCAATGGAGGGGTGTGTTTGAGCAGACAGATATCAACAGGACAGGCTCTATTGATGCTAATGAGTTGACAGGAGGTTAGAATTTGATTCATTTCTCGGTCTTACAGATAAAATACCCACCACTTTCATCAGACATTCTACCTTAACCTCTACCTTAATTCTCAAAATATCTGATTACTTGCAGTATAGGGATTGTAGGTGAGGAGAAGTTTTAAGACTGTCGGTATGCTAAATAATGACCAATCAAAATGCTTGATGATTTAAAGGAAATTACATTTTATGATGTCAGAACAGTTAGTTTTAAATCAGATTTAATGGGCAATATTTAGTATACTATTGTATAGTAAAGTTTGCTATCAGTTTTTAATCAGTAATGATATTCCATTTTCTTATGATATTCCATGTAATCATTTTCTGATGTCATTTGTTTATGAAAGTAAGGTCATGAGAAAACAACAGGATGTAACAATGAATACCTGCTCATAAGAGCAGATAACTCTGTATTACAAAATGATGGAATTGTGCCTTACTCAATGTTATACTTTATTGATGCTTAGAACACATCAGTAGCACCAACTTCTTGTTCCTATAAAATATAAACCAAATCAATGATTACATAATTCAGTGAAATTCACCCAATAAACCACTGTACACTGTTTATTCTGTTACAGCTTTCCAGAGAATGGGTTATAACGTGTCACCACAATTTGCTACACTGGTCGTATGTAAGTTTGACTCAATGGGCAGACGACAACTGACTCTGGATAATTTCATTCAAGCATGTGTGATGTTGAAAGCGCTGACAGACAATTTCAAGTCACGAGACACACAAGGACACGGCAGCATACGTTTAAGTTATGAAGATTTCATGTGTTTGGCTGTAGCCAACAAGCCTTAAACCACAGATCTTTTTTGTAATAAAATTTGTCCTAGAATTTTTTTATTATAATCTTAGTTGTCAAGGAAATTTTGTATTTCATTTTTGAAGAACTTCTGGAATTTTCTTTAGCTTGTACAAGGTTGAAAATAAAAGTCATATACAACAGATATGTATACCGTAAATTGTAGGAGAAAAGTGTAAATTTTAAAGCGACATCACGGTAAAGGTATTTTGTTATTGATTGTACCCGTTTCATACACTTACAGTTATGTTTCTATGCTATCCTGATACTCATAGTGATTTCCAATGTCCAGCTTGACCACTTCTTTGGTTGGGAAAGCACTCAAAAATTTAGCTCTGATAATATCATGTGATAGTTTTAAAAACTAAGCGATTCATGTTGTAAACACAAACTCGTGAAGGCAGAAATGACAGTGACAACTCTAAGTCAATTCATAATTATAAATTAAGTGGCATTCATCACCAGCATTGTCATGACCAATTCAGACGGTTGCCTTTTTTATACAGGCGATAGCTTTTGTGCACATGCGTTATTATATATGACGTAAACAATTATATATGAAGACTGTTGATCATAAGGTAAGGTATTCCTGTTTTAATTAGCCTTTTTATGTGCATATTCCAGTGTAAAACAAAATATTGTTGTGGTACACATGATATACATATATACAATGATAACTAATTAGTAAAAACTTTTTTACTGTGATGTTCACTTTGGTGAACTCTTATATATTTTTGTTAAGGTTAAGGTTGTATGCTACCTTACACATCACACTGGTCATTTGTGTTAGGGTTAAGGTTGTATGCTACCTTACACATTACACTGGTCATTTGTGTTAGGGTTAAGGGTGTATGCTACCTTACACATTACACTGGTCATTTGTGTTAGGGTTAAGGGTGTATGCTACCTTACACATTATACTGGTCATTTGTGTTAGGGTTAAGGTTGTATGCTACCTTACACATCACACTGGTCATTTGTGTTAGGGTTAAGGTTGTATGCTACCTTACACATTACACTGGTCATTTGTGTTAGGGTTAAGGTTGTATGCTACCTTACACATCACACTGGTCATTTGTGTTAGGGTTAAGGGTGTATGCTACCTTACACATTACACTTGTCATTTGTGTTAGGGTTTAGGTTGTATGCTTCCTTACACATTACACTGGTGTTAGGGTTAAGGATGCATGCTTCCTTGCACGTTCCTTACACATTACACTGGTCATTTGTGTAAGGGATAAGGTTGTATGCTTCCTTACACAGTACACTTGTCATTTGTGTTCTGGTTAAGGGTGTATCGTACCTTACGCATTACCCTAGTTTGTCACTTGTGTTAGGGATAAGAATGTATGCTAGTTCACACATTACACTGGTCATTTTTGTTAGGCTTTCAGTTGTATGCTAACTCACTCAAGAAACTGATTATCTATGTAAGAAAGAAGATATATGTTGCTTTACACATTACTTTATGTGCATGAAAGAAACCATCAACATCATGTGATACTACTTGTTGATGTCAGCAACATAATGTACCACATCTATCCAAAATGGCAGACACTAGAGTACAGAGGGGATACTTACAAATAAAGTCCATCCCTTTGTTTCAATGTGATGTCATCAAATGGGGTTTGTATATAATTTATGTTTGGGTTAAGGATATATGCTACCTTACACAATATTAAGTCTTATGATCTGTTTGAGTGAAGGTTATATGCTACCACACAAATTATTACATCTTGTGGTTTATATTTGAGTTAAGGATTTATGCTACCTTATACATTATACCTGTAATTTGTAAAAGGTATTTTGAAAGATAAATGATTTATGCTACCTTATACATTATACCTGTAATTTGTGAAAGGTATTTTGAAAGATATGTTTCTTGACCTGGAGTACTGCTATTTGAATGACACTATGCACACATCTGATCCAACACATAAGAAGTTGAAACTTATTTCCCTAGATCTTAGGAGAGTTGTATTGCCTGTATGCAAAAACAAAGTGTATGTGAAATATTTTTCTGTTTGGATAGGTTTTAAAAGTCCCTCCATATCGGGTGACATCCTTGATTACCATTATTAATGTTTTCCTGTCACTGTATCCTTAACTTTCATATCACTTATATATGTGTACCTAAAGTTATATTTTCAGATTCACTAATTGGCAGTTTAAGTTTTTATAATTAAACCATTCATATGGTGATATTTGGTAACGTTCACCTCCCTGAAAGATCTAATTATTACAAATTAGGATTACTGAATAAAAAGTTCATTGTTCTAAGAGGGAGAATTTATTGATGTGGAAAATGAAGGTGTGTCCCCAAAAACACATCCATTTTAATGTTCTGAAGAAATGCTAAATTATCAGTAATTTTATTAAACTTTATTTGGAGCTTTAGCCTTTGTTATTTATGTGGAAATATACAATATATCATTGGTTTGTATTGACAGAAATGTTTTTTCAGCTCACCATTTGAGGATGGTTGTCTGATCAAAGCACTCACCATCTGTGGTCCATCATCCGTCCTTTAACAATTCTTGTTATCTCGAGAAATACTGGGTAGATCTTTCTCTTTTGTCATATGTACATGTCAGTTCCCCTTAGTCCCTAGTTTTACTCTGGTGACTGATTAGAAAAACAAAAAGGATGACAGGTGGCTGTCTTGGATTTTGACCAAGAAAGTAAGTCTTTAGTCATTTTAAAGTGGATGTTTTATGATATTGAAAGGATACACATTAATCTATCTGGAGCTTAAACCATAGTAAGTATGTCTCTCCTGTACATGTAGATTATGTGAACCTGTGATTTGGTCTTTCCTCAATCACATTCTGCCTGATAATCAGTCTGTGTATACTTTAAATGTAAATAAAAACGAAATGTCAATAAAGATTCTAATTTAAACAATTTCTTGTTTGGTTTCTGAGCACTTTTTACTGTAACAGAGATTGTACAAAAGACACACTAGTGACTGGCATCTTTTAATATAGAGTTAGAGTAGAGTCAGAGTATCGAGGATGGTTCCAGGGGTACAGAGAGCGAAAGTGATCGTAGCCCCTGGAGTATCGAGGGTGGTTCCAGGGGTACAGAGAGCGAAAGTGATCGTAGCCCCTGGAGTATCGAGGGTGGTTCCAGGGGTACAGAGAGCGAAAGTGATCGTAGCCCCTGGAGTATCGAGGATGGTTCCAGGGGTACAGAGAGCGAAAGTGATCGTAACCCTTAGATTACCGAGGATGGTTCCAGGGGTGCACAGAGCGAATGTGATTGTAACCACTGGAGTATCGAGGATGGTCTAACAGAAATCTGACAATGACAAATGCTTGTATGTCTCACAGAAATCTGACACATATACATCATGTTGCGAAATAGTTGTTATTCGCATGGATTATCTCCCCTATTCTAAATCACGTGATCACAGACATAAAAATGATGGAGTCTTCAAAGCACGAGGACTTGGAAGAGTGCCGTAGTCAACGTAAGTTTGAAATAGTCACCAAGGAAGGTCGACAGGTCAGTACATACAAGTAAGTTTCATTGCATTGAAACCAATGATATCACTATGTAACAAGTATCTTGAATTCTGATTCGATTCAGAATGTGGCTTTTTATTCCGGCTGGTGAAGTCCATGTAAATTTCGTACCCTAGGAAATCCAGACCGACATGTCTGTCAAGTATACAATATGCATTATCACAGGTCCTCATAATATTAGGTCATTATATGCAATCAAGTTCCCCTAAGGAGTGGTCTGGAAATTGGAAACATTCAGACGTCGAGGGGGCATTTAGATCGAAAGAACGATTTTGAATACACTAACGTAGTTTTTTTACAGTGAGCTTGCAAATTCTTCCCTACCAGCTGTCCATCGCAGAACCAGTAGTCCCTGCTATAGGCCTAAGCTGGCTTGACAAAACAGATTATGACAGGTCACAATAGAGGATGAAATCAAAGAAAAAGTGAAAATCCATTACATTGGTAATTGTTTCAATAAGTTTGTTCTATGCAGTCACCAAATTAAGGTGGATACACGCATCAAATCGTTTGTATCATTATGGTTTAGAAAAATTAATATTGAAAAGAAAAAAGTAAATAATTATATGTATATGTACATTAATACTTTTTATTCTCATGATCAGAGGTTGTAGTTATTGTAAGGCTCATTATCATAATGTTGATATAAATCATAACAATATTAGTAAAGGTCACCACAAAAACACATTGTGAATTTGTCCTTTTGATATTTATGGTTAAAACAAGATGCCCATTCCAATATGTTTTGTTCCATTCCAATGTCATGAGTGCTCCAAGTTACATGTATAAACTTGTGAAATATACTAAACAAAAAAAAGAAAGATACGCTACTTTATTGTGATTAATTAATTAACCCCTTCATAAATCCTTACCAATCATGTACGAATAAAGTAATTGATCAATTCTGATAAAACTGTAGTCATGGTTCATTATAAAACTTTGCGTTCAGTTGATTTTATTCGACTGTAAAGGACATTGGGGTCAATTTCAAAGGTAACACCACTAGTAACGGGTATGGCCACCGTTTGCTAAGTAAACAGCATTGCAGCGTCGTCGCATGGAACTCGTAAACCGGCGGATAATTCGAGGAGAGATGTTGTTCCATTCAGCGATCAAGGCTTGGGTCAGCTCCTGCAAGTTTGACGGCTGATTTAGACGTTCTCTCACGCGTCGCCCAAGAACGTCCCAGACATGCTCAATCGGTGACAAATCAGGTGATTTAGATGGCCAATCTAACACCTGTACGTTATTCTGCTGCAAGAAAGTTCTGCTGACGCGACTGGTGTGCGCTGGTGCGTTATCCTGTTGAAAAATGGCGCCAACTCCATGGCGTCTTAAGAATGGCAGAACCACTGGTCTTAAAATTTCGTCCCGATATCGAATGCCGGTTAAATTGCCATTTAACACAACAAGCCTGGTACGAGTCCCCCCACAAATACCACCCCAAACCATTACACTTCCGCCGCCAAAGCGGTCCCGTTCTGCGACGCAGCAGCTCGCAAAACGCTCCCCTCGTCGCCTCCACACTCTGCGCCTTCCGTCACCGTATTGCAGACAAAACCTGGACTCATCTGAAAACAGAACATTGTGAACACGGGTCCATTTACACCGATTATTACGGTGACGTCACAATAAATTGGGTCCAGTGTAGGGACGTCGCGCTTTCAACTGGTATGCCCTCAACCTGTTGCGGACTGTTTAGGGAGACACACGACGCCCAAACAATGTCCTTGTAGTCTCTACTGCGGTTACGAGTCGATTGCGCAAGTGTATCAATCGTATACAACGGTCATCCCTGGTGGTCGTTTTACGGGGTCGGCCGCTTCGGGGACGATCGGATGTTGACCCAGTTTGGTTTAAACGACTTACCAACTGGCAAATTGTCTTAACACTGCAACCAAAATGCCGTGCAACTCGACGGCGAGACTCCCCAGCCTGGATCATGCCTACAGCCCTTTCTCTCTGTACTTGTGACAGCCGGGGCATAATGATAAAGTTGATATATAGCAAGATTCGGTGATTTCTAAGTCCTAAGGATCTAAGGAACAGTTGTCAGTTTGAATGTTTATGAAATTCAAGCGAAGATACAAGTTAGTCGCAGAAAACCTCGTGCAGCTCTTGAATTATTTTGGTAACCCCCTTGGATTTTGTAATGTAAAACATTACCATTTTCTAATATTGCACAAACGTCATTTTGTTTTCACTCATTTACAGGCATTCGCCAAGGAAACATGTTAACCTTCTTTTTTTTGTTGAGTATATGTTATTGTAGGCTGGCCTAAGTACTATGATGAGTGGAGAAGGAAGGAGGACCTGGTATCAATAGCTTCTACAATTGAAAATTCTCTTTGCAAAAAACTTACAGTAAGTGTATACTAAAAATGATTTACTTTTGTAAAATCATTTTACATTGCTTCGGGTTAACAGGAATTGACCATGATGAAACATTCAGAAAAGAAATTCAACAGTCAGGTACATGTAGAACAGTAGACATCTTCTGAGATTTTGATTCTTGATGACATTTCAAATTTCAAATTTATTCTTACAGAAGTAAACTAATTTAGATTGAACCCTGTTATTGGTAGGCCACTAGTGGTGAAAGTTCTTCATCTGTTTTATATGTCTTCACTAGCCACAATCCATTTATATTACTCTGATGAAAATGTGTTACAGTGTTTTGATCAATTAATTGACATTTTTACACAACTGCTTCATATGTTTAAAATTTCAGATTCGAAATATTGTATGTTGTGTTGTTGATTTCCTTGAATAATGATGTCATAACATAGATGTCCCAAAATTACATTGTCTGTCCTGACATCTGTCAGACCTCTCTTCAAAAATTTTTACACTTTAAATGCAGCAGGCCAGTGACATGAGTTTTGACAGTTTAATGACTTTCAAACTATTCTGTATTGCAGAGTCCAAATCTGACTGGCATCAATTCTATTTTTTTCCAACCATCATCAGTGGATGGTTTCAAACTTTTTGGCGACCTTCATTTCATTCTGCAGTAAGTTGTCTGTCCAGAAACAATGTGTATTATAGCTGCTTCTCAAAAAATACCAGAAGGATATTTCTCAAATTCATATGTAGGTTTGTCAACCCCAGCATTGCCTGTTCAATTTGAAGATGATTGGGAAAGTAAAATTACCAACATTTGCCCATCTGGGATTATGACAGTTGAAGTTGGTTATAGCTATATTTTATCTACACTCATATGGTGCATATTTTGTCAATGGAACAGAACATCAAGAGGAAAGAGACAAGAAGTTCAGAAAAAAGATTTAGCTGGGATGTAATCAGTAAAGGTCATTTACAATGGTGGGGGTCAAGATTCCTGTTGGATCTATTGTCTATGATGTGATATGTAATCAATATTTATAATGCTTATTGTTTATATGTGATACACTTTGTATTGCAGATCCAGATAAAAGAACACTTATCAACGAGCCTAAAAGATTCAAGAATCACAATTAGGATTCCTGTTATGGAAATGGAAGATTTTAAGCCAATGCAAAATAATGCAAGAATATACAAGGTCACCAAGCACAGGGTTTTTTTATAATATAAAAAATCGACAGGACATGGAGAAAATTTTGGGAGTTGGATGGGACTATAGAATTATAAATGTACTGGGTGACAGTTATTTTGTGAAAACAGAGACTGTCAATTTTTAGCTTTACAGAAGAAAACCATTAAAGGAATACATATTATACCCTGATCACAAACAAGAATCAGAAGTAGACAGGGGAGTTTGTTTAACTTTAACATTTGTTGTGAGCTGGAAATGCTTCCAGACTATCAGTTCTACAAAATGCAGATGTATTGTGATCATACCTGACATTGTCAACAGGTTAGCTGTATCCAGATGTATATCAGCAGATACATTCTTTTTCATATTCTTAAATCCAGTTTTTTTGAGTCGGTCTATATCTGATCAAATTTTACAGTTTCTTCAGATTCTCGAATATCAACTTAATGTTTCATTTAATGTTGACACTCAACAAATTCACAATTTCAAAACTTTGCTTCACGAGTTGAAACAAAGAGGACTAAAAACATGTAAAAAAGGTGGGAGACAGTACAATGAGTTTGTAGAAAATTTGAAAAAAGTATCTTACAACTGGAAAGTAGGAATAGAGCGTCACAGTATGCAAAAAATGGTGGAGATTATGGAAGAGGAAAATCAGATAAATCGACACAACACATTAGCTGAAAATGTAACTTTTTTACAAAATGAAAATAAGGGGCTAAGTGATAAAGCAGAGAAAAATAAGGTGCTTTTGTGTGACAAAACTAAACTGATTAATAACAATGCCAATAGATGTACAAGTTCTACAAGAGGAAAAAGAAAATCATTTGAAGACTGCAGTA